GTCTGGCACGGTGACCATCGAGACCACAGCCTTGAATCTCTCCATATAGTCCTTGAGGGATTCGTGCTGTAGCTGGGATATCTTCCAGAGGTCGGCGGCCGAGGCCCCTTTCCGTGTGAACATTATGTAATCCTTGAGGAACTTAGTGGAAAGGTCGTAGAAGTTGTCGACGGAGTCCTCGGGTAGTCAGGAGAAACAAGTGAGGGCTGGGCCGGAGAGTGTTTCGACGAAAAGCTGACAAAAACCGGCATCTTTGTCTTCGTCGGAGAAAGATGTTCGTCTCATAGCGATGTTAAAGGCCGTGACATGGTCGACCGGGTCCGAGTCCCCAGAATAGAAGGGGACGCGCAGCTTCTCGGCCCGCTGGACTTTTACGTTTGTAATCTTTTTTGTGAACGGAGTTTTAAGAGTGGCCGCTAAGACGCGGTCGATCTCAGGGGCTGGTGTTGAGTTCTTGCAACGAGAGCTTAAGATCGGCGTTTGCACGAGAAACCGCCGGATCTGGAGTCACCGTAGAATCCTCCCCGCTTGCAGCGAGATTATTTGTGGGAAAGAGCTGTCGTCTGACATGGTCGGCCTCTTCGGCGGGGTTGGGTAAGCGAGGCACAACTGGTTTGGCCGGGTTAGTCGTGGCAAAGAGTTGTCGTTTGACCAGGTCGGCCTCCTCAGCGGGGATTGGCGTAGGTGCGGCTGCAGTCAGGCCGGCGAGACGCGCATTTGTCTCCTTGGTAGCTCGTTCTTGGTCGAGGAAGCGGTCGATGATGTTTTTCATCATACCGTGAAGAGACTCGGCTTCTGTCTCTGGTCCTGTGACGGGTGTTATCGTCGCCTTCAGTCGAGGTCCCGATGTGTTCCATAGGTGACATTCAGCCGTTATTTCCTAAAAACTCCCCACAGTTCCAAATGTTTAATCTGAACTTAGGTTAAATGATTAAGTATTTATTTCGTGGGTTTAGGAAGACGTTTTATTGAATGTCGGAATGAGTACAGAGGTTCGGAATCTAAAGAGAGAACAAAAACGAGATTACAAGAGTTTAGATCTAAGAGATAAACCCTAAAGCTTGCCATCAGTCTCTGGAGGCCAATTTTCGGATCATCTTCTCGTTGCTCCCCTTTTCTCCTTAATACTCCTCCTCGTCTTGACCTAGGTCTCCTCGACTAAACCTAATTCGACTGGGCCGAATTGATGAGGGGCCGGACTACAAGCCCAGAAATTCGTCGATCTCCTACGATGGGCCGAGATCTCTCTTTATTGGGCCGTAAGGGAGCTTGAACGAAACTCTCCCCAAACAATGACCATGCATTGTGACAACCAAGCAGCAATTCACATGGCTTCAAACTTGGTGTTCCATGAGAGGACAAAGAATATTGAGGTTCACAGCCATAAGGTGAGGTAGATGATAGTGCTTGGATTTGTTCTACCGAGCTACACAAAGAGTGAAGATCAGTTGGCTGATGTGTTTACTAAGGCAGCAAGACAAAAGACCATGGAGTCCATCCACACCAGGTTGGAACTCATGGATCTTACTATATTCAGCTAGTCCCCTCGTCATGGGACCTTTACTCTTTTCTTCATTAGGGTTTTATCCCAAAAAAGGTTTTCCTTAGTGAGGTTTTAATGAAGAAGGTTCCCATGGCATTCCAAGCTATACTTGTTCCACATGGTCTAGATTGAGGGGGAGTGTTGAGTTGAGAGGTCTAACAATGCTGAGTTGTGATAATAATAGGTCTAGGCAAGGAGAAGTGTTCTAGACAAGGAGAAGTGCCCAAAGAGTGATTGTGCATATTTAGGGCGAGTGGTACGAACAGTACGGACTTTATGGATTGTACAGCCTATTTTACGGACCATCTCGACCCAAACCTATTTTATCAACACTTTGGTCACATTTGGAGTTGGGAAAAAATAGGGTGGTTGTACGGAATCCGTACATGTCCGTACCACCCTATCCGTACACACTCAATGTCGTCCAAGATGCAAAGAAGGAAGAAGGTCCGAGTGAAATGGAGGAAGGTAACTTTGGAGTTGACTCTTGGTTACTATAGAAGATAAGGCACGCGGTGACAGCCTGGCCTAAGGCTGGAAAGGAGTTTGGCATCTGGTCAAGATACCAAAGATATCAAGCGTGCAAGCCTTCTCGTCCATGAATTCAAATGGGACGCTCCTCTCTTCTTTGACTACACACGTTTTTCCTTGCAGCCATTTGGCACCTTATCACTTCCTCCCTATTTATGTAAACACAATCTGATTAAACAAAAACTAAGCAATTTGTGAGACTTTTACTCTCTCTCTCTAAGTTCATTAGTCTTTCCTAGTCTTTACACTTATCATTTCTTACTTAATCTCGAACCAAATCTCTTCACTAATCTCTAAACCTCTTCTTCTAGCTTCTATACACTCAGATTAACAAAAATATCAATCTCTACATTCAGCCATCTTGCACATAGCTTACTGATCACTTTGATTACCTTTTGAGAATAAGATTGTGAAATAATTATCAATCATGTATCGTGCACATTTATTTTATTGATTTACCGCCCTTGTATATTCATTGTAATCATACTTCTTTAGGAAATTAAAATACTCGTGTAATAAGTATACAAAACTATGTAATCACCATTCTTAATAGATCATCGAAATTTCTTCAGTGTCAAAAATTAGGGATAAAGAACATGAAATTTCGGAAATCGATACAATCACGATAGTATCGAAGAAAGAGTAACGAATAAAAATTTGAGAAACGTCCACAATGCAGATCGGAAACTGTTTCATCAGATACCTCGAAGAGAGAGTCTTTACCTACTCTAAGGAGTTAAGAAAAGCTCGAATTAATAAAGTCATCAATGTCTATGAATCGAAGTTCATCTAAGAAACCTAAATCCATCACTCAAACGAGAATTCTTAACTACCCGAGCTTCGAAGCGGTAACTCACTACATCAAAATTATTCCCTGATGTTGGTTAGCACAAAGCCAAGCAGCTTCACAACACACTAGCCTACTACATAATCCTAAAGTAAGATAAACAAGACACGCAACCTTTTCCCAACTAGTCTTCACTCTTTCTCCTCCTCTTTGTTTTAGTTCTTTTTATCTTGAACTGCAGCTAAGTACGTGTGCTATACAGTACCGGCTCCAAGGGTGTGCTCCTGGTGCACATGCACAGGGCCCCATTTTTTTCAGTTAGTTTTCTTTGCTATATTAGGACCCTTAATTTCAGAAACTTTACAAATTAAAGATCAAATTTTTTAGTTTACTCATCAATTTAGGAAGAAAAAATATAGCACAGGGCCCATTTACGTTTTAAGCCGGGCCTGGTGCTATAGAACTGATGATCTGAAAGAAGAGCGGTAGCAGAGGCGAGGCATACAGCTAAGGATGCAATGTGAATCGGGATCCGTCTGTTTCTGTCGGATCATGTCCTTCTCATTTCGTTTTGTATTCTTTGACTTCTTCTTCTTTGTCTTCTTCTTCCTTTTCTCTATCTTGTTATTAGTCACGCATTTCCGAAGTTTACTGAGAACAAGAAACAATGGAAAAGAGTAGTTGGTCTCCTCTTTGTGTTTAAGGATTAGTATTTACATAAGGAAAACAAAAGACAATGCAAATTTAAGTATTTCTTTATGTGAAAGCAAACTTAAAGTCCGGTTACTACAGAGTTGTGAGTCAATGACCAGGACAAAGAGTAGTTTTCTTTTTACAAGAGAAAGAGTAGTTAAAGTATCTCGCCTTCTTCATTTTTTTTAAGTATTTCACCTTTTTTTGTCAAGTTAAAGTATTTTACGAGTGTAAGTTTATTATTTCGTTCATAATTTCACTTTTTTGAGTAAAATATGTACCAAAATTTCATGTAGCATAAAATATATATACATTGGCAAAAATACCTGAAACTGTATGAACATAAAACCTTCAAAATAACTAAAATAATTATTTATATAATATAGACAATTTTAAATAATTGTTAAAAGGGCAAAAAGTGATAATTTAACATAGACAATAATTTTTCTTAAAAAATAAGCTAATAAATATATAAACGGACCACACTTATCTTATCATAAATCCAAATCAAATCTAAGTGCAATAAATATATAAAAAGGTAATTTTGTTGGAAGGAAAAAAATTGTCTACAAAATACACACAAACATTGTTATTATTTTTTTTGTTTTATAAGATGAGAATGCCCTTAAAATAGCACATAATGAAAAAAGTTCAACTTAGAAGTCATTAAATGTAAAAAGGTAAATATGTTCCGGTGATAATCATATGATGTGTTATATATATTAAAAAAAGCTTTTAAAACATGTGAAATTAATTTTTTTATGAGAAAATGATTTAAAAAAGGCTAAAAACTTTTTGTCACAAATATAAACCTATACAAAAATGACCAAAATAGATTTTATTAAACAATGTAAAAACGTTTTTATACTCCTTAGATTAATTAATCTAAACTTAAGGTTTAGAATTATGGGGTTTATGGGTTAAAGTTTAGAGCTTACGATTTTTTCTTTTTTTAACAATCAAACGTTACCACGTCATAAAGGATCAAGTCCTTAAATGTCTTAGTTAAAAATTCTTCCTTAGATTATGCAAATTAAATACTATTATTTAAATCTAATTTGCTAAGGATACCTGATAAGGATTTGGTTAACCCTCTCATTGTACATGCTCTTACCAAACATATCGTACCTTCGAGTGAATCTTTGAAAATCCCAAATGTTTAACCCAGAAAAGACATTTAATTTTGAGCGGTAAAGTTTTTGGTAAAGAAAGTTGTGTTGGGCGGTGAACTTTTAAGTGGCTTTCGTTTGTGTATTCTATGGTAATATCTCAGCGGTAGGAAGGTCTCAAACAAAAGAGAAAGCAAATACGAATCAGAGCAACCAAAAAATAAAAGCAAAGCAGAGGAAACGAAGGTCGGAATAAAAAACAAAGAAGCAAATCTGTACTTGGTTTTTCAGTTTAGAGATGAAAAGAAAAACAGACTTGGGAGATAAAAGAAGAATCTCACTTTGCCATCATAACTTTGACGAACTCATCATAGTTGATCTGACCATCGCCATCCACGTCAGCCTCTCGGATCATCTCATCAACTTCTTCGTCAGTGAGCTTCTCACCAAGATTAGTCATGACGTGACGAAGCTCAGCAGCGGAGATGAAACCGTTCTGGTCCTTATCAAAAACTCTGAAGGCTTCCTTAAGCTCTTCCTCAGAATCAGTGTCTTTCATCTTGCGGGCCATTAGGTTCAAGAACTCAGGGAAATCAATCGTTCCGTTGCCGTCAGCATCAACCTCGTTGATCATGTCCTGGAGCTCAGCTTCAGTCGGGTTCTGCCCAAGTGATCGCATCACAGTGCCGAGCTCCTTTGTGGTGATGCAGCCTGAAAGAAAACACATATGTCAAGATCACGCAATGATGAAAGTAAAACAAGATTGATTTCTTATTCTACCCGGAACAATGCTCCACCAATCTTATATCATAATTATTCTCTCATTGTATTGTTAAGAAACAGGACTACACTATAAAGGAGTTTCTCTGATTTGGGCGAAAACATCTACAAAAACAATATGACTGCTACCATTCCAAGATGAAAACCTTAAATATCGCGAGGATCTGTCAGAGTACTGGTTCAGAACTAAAATCAGGTGAAGAGCCAAAGCAACCACTATATACGGACAAGATTTAAGCAATCATATGAAATAAAGACAAACTGAATAGAAAATCAGGATCTAAACGAAGATATTCGAAAACAGAAAAGAGATCTGAGATAAGAAGAAGAGACCATCTCCGTCCTTGTCGAATAGGCTGAAAGCTTCCTTAAACTCGGAGATCTGGTCATCGGTTAGCTGATCAGCCATTTTCTTTTGCTTAGCTGTGTGATTTCTTGTTTCTTCTTCGATTCCGTAATCGCGTCGTGAGTGAATTCTAGTTTATAAACAAGAGATCGAATCTATTTTTGAGTTGACGACCTTACCCCCTCCAACTTCTTTTTAGGGCTTTTCTTCTTCCTTTCCGCTATTATTTTTTACACCGCCTAAATTTTCGAAACTTTTTATCTAAACTTCTTTTTACTAATTTTAGACTCATATTAATATTAACTGATCTATAATTAGAGGAAAATTGGAAAAATATTTTTATATCTTTTATGTTTAGATAAGTTAAACCGGGCATGTAAAAGGAACCGATCAGCATTGCATGCCGAGATGGAAAATCTACTCTGGGCAGTTTCATGTGTGAGTCATATGAGGATATCCTCGGTACGGATCGAAACAGACTGCTCCGACCTAGTAGACATGTTTATTAACCCGGAGGAATGGTCGGCATTCGCAGTGGAAATTGAGATGCTCCAGCGACTACATGAGGGCTTCGAGGATATGAGTT